TTGCGAGGAACAATTCAAATTCAATGATAAAGTAGTTGACGAGTTAGCCGAAGCAGGGAAGGAGCTTGATAGCATTTCCAGTGACAACGTCCATCTGGTCGCTGCTAAGAAACGGATTGCTGAAGGTATGTCGCTACTTGCTCAAAGACAAAAGTTTGTCCGTTTGGCAGATCGCGAGGAATTGGGGTGGAAAGTTGTTGATGAGTACAAAGCGCATGATTTAGCTGAAGATTCCGATGACGAAAAGCGAATTTGGAAAGCGGTTTCGAGGGCCAGCCGTAAGCAAAAGGAGCAAGTGTCGAAAAAAAGGAAGAAAAGTTGGTACAGTCAACGGTTCAATCCATACAACGCATGCGCATCAAACCAAGACGGACAGGCCTCTCAACACCGTGATATCCCATCCCGTACAAATACACCTAGTAATGGCAGTGCGCTGAAGCCGGGATCGTGTTTTGCATGCGGAGAATTGGGCCATTGGAGGAATGAGTGTACATCGATTCAGTCGCAAGGGAGTGGTCAGAGAATTACAGCAGGACACGCAAATAAGATAAGTGACATTCCATACTGTAATTATGCAGTGCAATCTGGTTCAGTGTTTTGTAGTGATGTTGGCAGTTTTTCAGGTCGGGGTTTTAGTGCACCGAGTTTGAATTCAGCTTCGTTTATTGATGGCGAGTACGTCACTGTATCCGATACGTCAGAATATGTATCAGATAATTTGGTCTCTCCGGTTGTAGGCTCAAGGGTGCAATACCATTTTGGAGGCAAACAGGTGCTAATTCCTATGTTTTGGATGTTATTAGTAATGGGTACAGGTTACCCTTTATTACGACTCCGCCAACAGCGAATTTGCCCAACAATAAATCAGCAGTTAATAATTCTGAGTTTGTAGTGAATGAGATTAACAAGTTGCTCAGTAAGGGTTGTATAAGGGAAGTTTCACTCCCTCCACATGTTATCAATCCTTTAACAGTAGCATGTAATCGAGACGGTAAGCGCAGGCTGGTTTTGGACTGCAGGCACATAAATTTGCATTTGTTCAAGTATAAATTGTTGTGGGGATATTTCAATAGCAAGGAGGTTATTTGTCTATAACGATTATTTATTCACATTTGACTTGAAATCTGCGTACCATCATTTCGAGATCAGGGTCATCATCGGTATCTTGGATTTTCTTGGAAGTTTGGTAGCGTGAGTAAATATTTTGTATTTTCCGTGCTGGCTTTTGGTATTTCCACGGCGCCGTATCTATTCACTAAAGTTGGCAAGATTATGGTCGCCTGGTGGCGCTCCCAAGGCATCAAAGTTGTCAT